AATGTCACCCCCAATACAGTTAATTAAACAAAAAATAAAATGTATATTTTGACTGTTATCATAATGGTTTTAAGTGTACTGTCCTTAGGTCTGCTTTTTGAATGGGGGAAATATAGCCGCCATGATGGTAAAAATTGCTTCTTGGGACAACAAAAAGCTTATTAGATAGCACAGGGGTTTGTGGCCCTCAAAAGCTCAGCCATACCTGACGAAATTTTATTCCTTATTATTTAATTTGTCTCATTAGAGAGAAATTAGATATAAATTAATTAAACTAAGTTATTGATTAGAATGCTCAATTTAAAATAAATTTAAATTTAGCTTATTTTTTTTCCTTACAAGGATGATAATAAAAACAAAACAAAACATTGAGAAACACTGTTCTAGAGTGAGTTTCTAAGACAAGGACCATGTCTTAAATCATCAGCCACTAGCATATAGTACATATACTCTCCATAAGTGTTTAATAAATACCATATTCTCAGTATCTGATATTCTGACAGTCTATATAAAGTTAGCAATTGCCTTAGAGAAAACTCATACTTGAAGAAAACAGTTGCTCAGCTATTTGTTTGAACAAGCAATGGTAAGTTTACTGATTTATTCAGAAAAGATAGACATAATATAAAGAACAAGCACTGGCAAGAAAAGGCAGCTTCTTCCTCATATTAAAAGTAGCAGCAGCAGATGCTGTCAAAGGGAAAGGACAAAAAGAAAGGCAAGAGCAAAGGCAAAGATGACAAGAAGTAAGGACAAGCCACCCTGGTGTCCCCTCTTCCTGGGCCTATCCGACGCAGGGGTTTGGGTCTGGGGACTGCCTGATGCAGGAGTTGGCTGTCATCCTCCCCCCAGCCCTTCTGGACCCCCTTGGGTCCACCTCTTGCACCCCTGATTCTGAGGACAGTTCCCATTGTTCAAGAATTCCCCAAGATGCATGCCAAATCGTGCTGCTTCAACTGAGACAATAGTGTGTCAGATTTGGGACCCTGAAGCAATTTAGATGCAGCACCTGCCTGTGTGTGATGCATTAACAATGGAGGCAGATAAGTTCCCAAAGAACAGAAGTAACACATGACTGAATGAAATAGGTACTAATGGAGGAACAAAGAACTGAGAATGAGGAGGAAGAGTTCTGGCACTGGAAGTGAAGGTCAGGATAACATTTCTTGGGATACTGGAGGTCCTCTAGACCAGCGTTGTCCAATAGGGTAGTCACCAGGCATGTGTGGCAATTAAATTAAAATTAATTAAAATTAAATAAAATTTAAAATTCAGATCTTCAGTTGAACTAGCCACGTTTCATATGCTCACTAGGCACATGTAGGTAGTGGTGACTATATTGGACAGCCTAGATATAGAACATTTCCATCATCACAGAAAGCTCTATTGGATGGCAATGCTCTAGACCAGTGGTTCATAACCCAGGACGGTTTTGTCTCCCAGGGAACATTTGGCAATATCTGTAGACATTTTTGGTTGTCACATCTGGGGATGTGTGTTACTGTCATCTAGTGAGTAGAGACCAAGGATGCTGTTTAACATCCTGTAATGCACAGGACCACACCCTACCCCCACCCCCAACAGAGAATAATTTAGTTCAAATATCAGTAGCGCCAGGGTTGGGAAACCCTGCTCAAGACTATAAAGGTCTCTAGAATAGGCACAAAGCATTATTCACCATATCTCCAGCATCTAGCAGAGAGCCTGGAACATAGCAGGTGCTTAATATTTTTTCAGTAAACAAATTAAGGTGTCAAAAAAAAGTAATAGTAGCAATAGTAATAATAAGAATTTAACATTTATTAAACCTTTACTATAAGCCAGGCATATGCTTTATATGTAGCAATTCATCTAATCCTCATAATAGCTCAACGAATTAGGTACTTTCATTATCACCATTTTACAGTGGAATCTGCAAATTTATCACTGTGATCAGTATTCTGACAGTTTTTCTAATGTCATAATCAATCTAATACCAAGTAACAATGTCTGTAGTCTAATTCTGTTAGTCTAATTTTGATTTAGAAGCTTCAATCCCATCCATTTACAGTTCTAGAAGTTCTAAAATTATTAATAACACACACTCTCTCCCTTCCTACTTAAAAAAAATTAAAGAAATTAACGTTAACCAAGCAATGATCATTATCCGGCTCACTTATAAAAACCTACTGCCTAAGCCATCTTGGGTCGTTATCACCTTCTGTTGTTCAGAGCTGGAAATTGTATAGTCCAGTATCTTCTTACATTGCCTTCTTTCTCCCTCCTTCCACCAAAAATAGGGAATTAGCATTGATGAGGACACTTTTAGAGTGAAAGAGGCACTATGAGTAATTATACCAGGACAACAAGACTAGCCAGACTGTCCTGGGGAAACCAGCAAGTATGATCTCCCCGCTCGTGATGCTTCGTCTTTTGTGCCACGTCTGTTCTCAGCTCCGCTGCTTTTTACAACTATGCCATTAATAACATTACTTCCTTGACCCAAACAACTGAAACTTTTGAATACAAAGAAACTAAGGCCTATCAGTAATCTGTTGGGATAGCAAAATCAGTATTTTTTAATGTAAAGTTAACAGTAATTTCCAATAACAGTGTTACCTGTTCTCCACCCTAAATCTGTGGAGAAGGTTTTGAAAAGGTATATAAACTACTTTGGGAATCTTTGTGTTTCTGTATTAGGATAATTTTTGAACATGAGAAAAACCCTTCCCACTTCTCTATCTCCTATACAAACAGAAAGGTCCCTTTGCCCCTCACAGGCTGTCTCTGTTTTAGAGAAGAGTGATTAGATAGCCTTGAAAAGCTGTTGGGATTGAAATCCCCTCCATGTGCTCTGCACAATAGAATGCCCGCACATTGGATGCAAGGCAATCTACTGGAATGTGTATCAAAATTATATTATGTTTACGCAGAAGAAAAGTTAAGCTTTACTAATATTTAGTGAGGACACTAGCATTCTTTCTTACATGTTATGGTATGTAATGTTAGCTGAGGGAAACTGAAAATTTGACAACACAGAAAGAAGGGCTGAGTTCAGTAGTTTGCTTTCTGTTTGTTGCAATATATCGAAGTTTACATATGCCCAACTAAATGGATTTTGGATATTATCTAGTTTTTGCTAGCCTACCAGCAAAAAAGTGGACAAGAGACTTAATTAAACAGAATCTATAAAGAAATCAGATTGAAGATAATACTAATAAGGGAAACAGAAAAATAGAGGAGCTGAGCTATCATCCTAGTACAATTCAATCATTGATGAAAGAAACTGCCATATATATGGTGACAAAAGGAGATTTGACACATTGCAATGTATAGGTGATGTATTGTAAAATTGTACACTTGAAACCTATATAATTTTATTAACCATTGTTGCCCCAATAAATTTAATTTCTAAAAAATTAAAAATAAACTAGAAAATACTGAAGAAGACACAACTAAAAAGAAAGTAATTCCATGTTCACTCATTGAAAGAATATTAAAATGTGCATACTATTCAAGACAATATAGTCAATGCAATCTCTATCAATATACCAATGGCATTTTTTGCAGAAATAGAAAAAACAATTCTAAAAATTGTATGGAACCAAAAATTACCCCGAATAGCAAAAGCAATCTTGAAAAGAACAGAGTGCAAGGCATTATATTTCCTGATTTCAAATTAAATTGCAAAGCTGTAGTAATCAAAACATTGCGCTCCTGGCATTAAAACAGACACAGATGAATGGAACACAATGGAGAATCAGAAATAAATCCACTCATATACAACCACCTAATTTTCAATAAGGGACCCAAGAATACACCGTGGGGAAAGGATAACCTCTTCAGTAAATTGTGCTGGCAAAACTGGGTTGCCACATGCAAAAAAACTGAAATTGGATCCTTATCTTACACCATACACAAAAATAGACTCAAAATAGCTCATAGACTTAAATGTAACACCTGAAACCGTAAAACTCTACAAGAAAACATAGTGTAAACTCCTTGGCATCAGCCTTGTCAGTGGTTTTCTGGCTATAAGCACAAAAGCGCCGGCAACAAAAGCAAAAATAAACAAGCGGGATTACATCAAACTAAAAAGCTGCTGTATGGCACAGGAAACAATCAAAATGGAAAGACTACCTATGGATTGGAAGAAAATATTTGCAAACCATATATCTGATAAGAGATACTGGAAATTTGCTAAGAAAGTAGACTTCAGGTACTCTCCCAACAAAAAATTATGAGAGATGTTATGTTAATTAGCTTGACTATAGTATAATATTCATTTCACTATATATCAAATGACCATGTTTTATATCTTAAATATGTACAATTTTATTTTTAAAAATAAAACAGATAAACAATAATTTAGGACTTTTACTGATCAAAGAAGCTTGACTTTAAATAAATATACTCATACCCAGATGAATGTAACCTAGTGGTCAGAATAAGCAGACTAATCTAGAGCATAATATTTCACATTATTCAATTGTTACAGTGGATGAACTAGAATTTGCTTCAAGCTTGAGCCTCACAGAACCTTTGTCATCAGAGTTACCAGCAAGTACTAGAATTAACCTTTTCTGTTGTTTATTGTATTGTCTCCACTCACTAACACTGTTAAATACAGAAACACTTAAAGTAGGTATTAGATAAATAAAAAACAAAGATTAATAATCAGGTTATCAGTCATTGGAAAATTGAATTTTATTTTTTAGAGACTTCTGAAATGATATATTGGTCAACCAAGGAAAAAAAGTTTGCCAATGGGCAAGTTTATAGTCAAGCTGTCAATTCACATGTAATTATCATAACGAAAAAAAGAACAGCATTTCACCAGGAGACTTAAAGAGATTTCTGATAGGTGCTTATCATTGAAAAAAAACTGTCAGGAGTACAAACTAACACTCAGCAAAATCAAGATGTGCTCTGTTCGTGGTCCCTGCATTCAGGATGCAGCTTCCTTTCTGAGCACATATCTGAATGTAATGAGCCTTAAACTGTGTTGATACACCTTGTAGGTTTCCACAGACGTGCGACTCCAGTTACGCGAAGGCAGTTCCCACACGGAGCACACAGGATGGACTACCTGCACTTTGAGGACGACAGCCGCGGCTGGTGGTTTGACATGGACATGGTGATCATCTATATTTATTCAGTGAACTGGGTCATTGGATTCATTGTTTTCTGCTTTCTTTGCTATTTTTTCTTTCCGTTTTAGGGATTTTCATATCTTACTATCTTAACACAGCTGAACAATCACGAATTATGTAAATAGATAACAATTACGTAAACATTTTTTAAATGTGCTTTGAAATATTTATAATGTTGCATTATATAAAATGTGGGTGTTTATAGATAAAGTCTGAGAATAGGTAACAATGTTTTTCATGTCAAGAAACTGTTCAAGAGCTGATCTATCTCGCTCTTAGCAACAATACACTATTAATTTCATAATTCTTTTTGATTTAGGATTTATGAGCTCTAATTTTATTATCTTTATTGTAAAGATTAAGGTTTTCCCTCCACTTAAAAATAATAAAAATAAAAAATGAAATTATTATCTGGGTAGATATCAGAAAAAAATATTTAGTCAGTCGCCACTTACTCTCAGACAAATTATACACATTAAAGGTAAACCATATTCTCGAATTCATCTAGCAGGTGTATTCAGTTTTGATTCCAATCATCCCTGCTTTTTGTCTCTTTCTGTTCCCAACAAAGCTGACTGTCCTTTTCTTACAGACATAGTAATAGCTTTCGTGAAACATTTTTAATTATTGTAAGAACAGAATAATAAATATTAAGAAAAACTGAGACTAACCTCCATCAATAGACACTTAGAGAAATATATTAACACTTTTAGAATTGCAGGGTTACTCACCTGAAGAAATAAAAAACTTGCTGATTTTCAGTAGTCTAAAACAGCAGTGCATGTCCAAAATGTAATGAATTTAGTGTTCATTTAACTAGAAGGTTGTCAAATATATTGTAAATGTGCAATAAAGAGTGGCTTTTAAATTTTTTTATTGTTATGTGATCTAATGTCTACAATAAAGAATTATTGGAAATAAACTTGTGGATTAATAGAAAAAAACCTGACATTTATTTTTATTTATTTTTACAGTAACCCTTGGAATTAGTTTTTTCCTTATTAAAACAAACAAACAAAATAGAAGATCTGAATTGCCCCAGTGTAGGAAGAAATTGGGCATCCCAATTTTAAATGTGAGAAAACTAAAGCACAGAAAAGTAAGCTCTTTATTTCAGGAGATCTTTGTATAACCTAGGATAAAAGTTTTTATTATGAACTACTAATCCAACATTCCTACACTATGATGACAAAAATCTGATAATGCAATAAGCATATTTCTACACAATAGATGAACCTCTCATTTAGTGGTGGCACTAAAAATATTACCACCATCCAAACAAATCGGGATGGATTAAGGTTCAACAGTTCAGTTTGTGAAAAGTTCAAATTCGGCCTAATTACTACTGATTGTATTGAAATAAAGGCACTTAACTGACGGTATGTGATATTCTAAGAAATACGGAAGAATGGTACAGATTTTTATTCTAATACTGTTACTATTATTAAAATTATATCTGTGACAGAAAACAGTAGTGTGCATTAGACATCATAAATCCAGAAAGCAGAAAATTAAATACAAGTTAGAAAAACAGAGATCAATTTTTGCTCATATATCAAAATAAAATATATAAATTATGCATGCTGTCTAGTTTCATGTAACTAATATCTTGTGGAAACAGTGTTGCAGCCAAAGCTCAGTATTACCTTATAGAAATAAAAAAAGGATTTTATAATCACTAGTTTATTGCTCCAAGTAAAGATAATATAAGGGAAAATATAGCCTTCATAAAATATATGTCAGGACTGAAAAATTAACAAAATCCATACGGGAAGCAATATTTTAAGAACTTGAAAATAAATTGGAGCCATGTCTGAGGCAACTCCTGGCTTACAAGCTCTAGCGAATATTCCTTCATACATTGCTAAATTACTTAAAAGTTGGTTTAATTTTACATGAAGTAAAATAAGTAGTAGTATTGATTCATATTTCTCAAAAAACAGTGCCGATTTCCCAGTATATGTTATTAGGTCAGTAATCCATTTCAGTTTATAGATCTGAATCTATAAACTAAATACAAATATATAATAAACATAAGTATATATTAAATATAGTATACTTAAAAAATAAAACAGTCCAGAGGAGCATTCTAAATGGACTCATTTTATGCCTATTAATAACTTGATCTGAGAATGACATCACTTGGTATATTAAAATTAAGGTAAATTTATAATTATAAATTTCTAATTTTACTTTAAAATATTTTAAAATTTTATACAAATGGAGCTAACAGCTGCTAAGTAGTAAGAAGTACAGCATTTCCTAGAGACAACTGTTTTTGCAAAACCAGATAAAACCTAGGTGAAAAGAAACCATTTTCTTCTGGTATCCATCACACAGTAGCCATTCAATAGATGATTGTTAAGTTTATAAATAAAATACATGAATGAACTTTAGAGTAAAACAAAAAATTATATGTTCTTTTTATTTAGTGTTTTTCACAGTATCAATTACATAAAAAAAATCATTTTCCAATAAAGAAGAAAGGAAAAGAAAATCCTAAAACTAATCAAGTACAATATTATTTATTAGTTAACAGGTTTCGTTTTCTGTGCCATCATTATCAACAATTTCTATTTCTACTGAACTTAATTATGGTGAAGGTTAATTTTTAAATTTTTCACACATTCATAAAAAAATGCCTAAAATTAAGTAGATTTCTGAGTACTTTCAGCAGGTAATTTATTTCTTGATTTTTAAAAAGCAAATTCACAAAACCAACACCTATTCATTTTATACTCAGAAGAAGCTAAGGAAATTTAGACAAAATATAAAAGGAATTAGAATTTATGACATACAAAGACCTACCACTGTTAATCAACAAATTCAAGAATAAAAAAAAACAAAAATATTTTTCTATATCTGCTATATTACTAATGCCACTTTAGTATTAAATATTAAATGCTACATTTAACAACAAAAGCACCATCAATTTTACCTCTGCCTTGAAATCTTGCTCCTAAAATAGTTGGCATGACAAAAAAAAAAGCCATTTAATAAAATTCTCACTTAAATGTCTTCTGTATGGCTAAAGGAAGACACAGATTCTTAAAAACTTTATTTTTATTTGGATCATTTGTTAACAAATGTCATAGAAGAGCATTTGATTCAATGCAATGACAGTTAAAGTCTTTGTTCATAGGTTTCCGCAGTTAAAGGTAGAGGACATTCATATAATAAAGTGTTCCTAAGGTTCTGAATAATTGAACATGCTCAACTCTTATTTTCTTGAAAAGTTTCTGATTTTCAATAAACTCTCAATGTATGCTTTCAATTACTTATATCAATGTATGCTTTTCTCCAGGATGAATTTAGTTTCCTTTGCTATTTTTGAAGATAACACTTATAAGAATTCCTTTTCTATATTTCTTTTTTTTTTCCACATAGATCCTATAAGAATCATGATTAGCCCATGGATGTCCTAGTGTGTATTTACTGCAGTATGCATTTATCTTATAATCATGCTTCTATTTATAGGGTCAGAAAAACAGATACTTTGCCATTTTTACTCTTTTTTAGGATCTCTAACAAGGCACAATAGATATACTTTGAGAATCATTTTTCTTTTTCTAATACTTCTAAAAATAGTTATTGGACTATTATCACAGCGCTTATGGTTGCTTCTCACACACATAATCATCAATATATTAAGTACTGTTAAGACACAGTCCAAAGGGGCTAATATCCAAAATATATAAAGAACTCATACAACTCAACAACAAAACAATCCAATTGAAAAACGGGCAGAGCACCTGAACAGACACTTTTCCCAGGAAGACATACAAATGGCCAACAGATATATGAAAAGATGCTCAACTTCACTAGCTATTAGGAAAATGCAAATCAAACCCACAATGAGATATCACCTCACATCTGTTAGAATGGTGATAATCAACAAGACAAGTAATAACAAGTGTTGGAGAGGCTGTGGAGAAACGGAACCCTCATACACTGCTGGTGGGAATGTAAATTGGTACAGCCACTATGGAAAACAGTATGGAGGTTCCTCAAAAAATTAAGACTAGAATTACCATACAACCTAGCAATCCCTCTTCTGGGTATCTACCCCCAAAATCTGAAAACATTTATTCATAAAGATTTATGTACCCCTATGTTCTTTGCAACATTATTTACAATGGTCAAGATAGGGAAACAAGCAAAGTGTCCTTCGATAGATGACTGGATAAAGAAGATGTGGTACATATACAGAACGGAATACTACTCGGCCATAAGAAAAGATGAAATACCGCCATTTGTGACAACATGAATGGATCTTGTGATTATCATGCTAAGTGAAATAAGTCAGAAAAAGTCGAGAGCCATATGACTTCACTCCTGTGAGATAGAAAACTGAAAGCAACAAATGAACAAGACAAACAAAAACCCTTAGACACAGATAACAGTTTAGTGGCTACCAGAGGGTAAGAGGGGAGGAGATGTGGTAGAAGAGGGTAAAAGGGGTCAAATATATGGTGATGGAAGGAGAACTGACTCTGGGTGGTGAACACATAATGCAGTATGTAGACGATGTATTATAGAATTGTACACCTGAAACCTATGTAACTTTACTAACCAGTGTCACCCCAATCAATCTAATGAAATGTAAAACAAAAGACACAGTCCTTCTAAGTTGCCTTTACTCTTCCACATTTTTTATAAGCGCCTCACCCAAAGAATATCTAGTAAGTAAACACACTGCCTACTAAAATGCAATTTTACTATTGATAGCATTGCAAGAGGCGATATTGGTCTTATAAGAACTTGGTGTTTTAACTGCTTTACAGGTGTCACCTTGTCTACCAACAAACTATTAAACTCTTAAGAGCAAAGGAAATGAGAGAAGACCACAGCTAACATTTATGAAACTGCTATATGTTAGGTATTATGCTGGTCATATTAACATTGTTTAATCTTCTCAATACTCTGAATAATACGTTAACCTCGTATTACAGATGAGGAAGAGAATGTTACCAAAATCACAGTTAGAAAGTGATTGATTTATCTGCATTTCTGACCTTGTGCTCTATTTTGTAATAGCTGATGACTTGATGAAGTTGAATATTCTCTGAAGAAGCTTAGTAATAATACTGCTAAAGAAGCGTTGGGAATAAGAGATGGTCTCAATCAAGAATGCAGGAACGGGGCCAGCCGAGTGGTACGTTGGTTAGGAATTGGCTTGGGATGCCAGCTCTGAGCAGCAGGGCCCCTGTTCAGATCTCACATGAGGGCCAGTAACGCTGCACCCTCTACAGCTAAGATGGTGAACAACAGCTCGACCTGGAGCTGGGCTGCCATGAGTTGCTGGCAATGTCATAGGCTGCAGTGGGGCTGGCCGGCAGCTGACGTGAGCTTTCATAAGCTGCCGTCAGCCGCTGTACAATGACCAGCGAGCAACTGCCTCACCCAGGAAGAGCATAATGATAATATCAACATGGGCCAGTGAAGCAATGTCCTCCACACTACACTGAAGAACAAAAGGACAGCAACTTGTCTGTTCCCCTTTCCTGATTCCCCAGCACTGTTCCCCTCCCCAATTCCCCAGTAAAATCTTTTTTTAAAAAGAAAGAATGCAGGAATGAACACATGTACTGTTTATAATAATCTTCATTGCTTATACCAATGAAAAACTCCTTATCTGTAAGACACTATACTACCTTTGATAATAGCTTTCATTCTGAAGGCCAACTTTGCTTTGTGGTGGCTACCTAGGGCGCTTTATTGAGAAGGATTTATCAAGGTTACATCTTTACTCCAAAGGGAAAAGAGTTCTCTGATCCACCACAATGTCCCTCAAAAATAGGGAAGGAGAGTGATGAGGAAAAATCAACCCATGTCAAATATCTTCCATCCTTGGGTAAGGGTGCAAAAGGCA